CTCGAGGTGACGGGGCAGGCGGAGGCGTTGTAGGAGGTGGAGATGATGGTGGTCGACGCTTGGCACTTTCAGGTCCAGTGTCTGCTTACAAATCGCTGAGTTCCACCTTGCGTTTGTCCCCTGGCTTTAGAAGTGAGACGAGCGGTTCATCATCAGAGTCAATGTCCTGGTTGGTAGAAGAACCTGAAACAAAGCAGTGACCATATTTGAAAATATACCCGTAAAGTATGAAAGTAACATGGTACCATCAAAAACGAAAAGGGGGCTTTTTGTCCATCGACACTTCCATTAAAGTATTCGTAATTTGGGGAACAATATTTCAGTCCATAACCCAGTATTTAAATTTGATATACCTAACAGTTCAACCGTATAGATTACAAGGCAAAGCATCCATCTGGAAACATGAAATATCTTGTGTGGTAAATTTTGCATGTGAAGCTATGCTGTTAACCATCAATTGACTACTTCCAATCGAATGACTTGGATAATTCATTTGTACATTTTGCAGGCCAGTCATTTGAAACAATGCAGGGTATATAGGGAGCTATTCCAATCTTTGATTTTTCTAGGAAAAACTTGGGTTGAAAACTCTGTTTCTTGCGTAGATTTGGCTGAGTTTGGGTTTAAGACCCTGAGTAGAATGGATACACTTATTTGGGGTCATGAAGTGAAAACCATGTGAATTGCAACTGGATTAAAAAAAAAATAAAAACTGAGGTCATAATTACAGCTTCTTCATGCCTATGAGAAAGCCATCTTCTGTTTTGAAGTATAGAAGTATAGAAAAAGATGATAAAGAAAACGCAAAAAAACTCACCAGGCACTCTGACGATCTTCGCTTTGTAGCAGCCAGATTTATAGGTGACTGGCACCACTGCATGAGCCACAATATCGGCATCCTTACATTTCAGCCTTCCCCTTGCTAGATCTTCCACAACTCCAGCATATCTCGCTGGAGTTAACCATGAAACAGTAACTTTATTATGCATTGCTTGAGCTTGACGGTGATTTACGTTGACTTCAGTACTCTACAGAATCGCAAGTTGGAATGCCAGGAACACTTCGTTTTGCTGCTTTTTAATACGCCGTTTTGAACTTCTTTGATTGACACTTGACAGGTGATCAACGGCAACATAAATTACTGCGGCGCATCTTTAGAAGACCTTTACATTGACTTCTGCAAAGCACTGGGCGCTTTTGTAAAAAGACACCGATCCAGAAACAATCATAAGCGTATGGTCGCCATTTTCCCTTTGACACAATAGAGCTTAATTAGTTGGCATGGCCATCAACTTAAACATCATAGGCGTTCGTGAGGATGTATTGATCAGCACGGAACTTTTGACAACTTGGAGGAACGACGATGCGTCCACCAGGCCTGATGTATTTTGCAATGGGAATACGAAGTCGGCAATTTCAGCGGCGACTGATAAATACATGTTTAAATCTGTCTGTAATTAATGCACCTTCCTCGCGAGTGGTATTGTGTTTCCATGTCGAATGCCTAGTACAACGAGAATCCACTGTCCTGGTATTGCTAAGTTAACCACAATGGGTAAGAATACAGTAATGAATATTCCCAGATCAATCTTTACTTACTTTGTACTTAAGTAAATGTGATTTTTTAACTCGCGCCGGTAGTCGGTGGTACTGAGGACTCCGTCAAAGTCAA